ATTAGATCAAATATCATATTTCAAGACATATTTTGGACACCTACCGATAGATCACCGATAATTATCATAATATGTTACCAATATAAAAAAAATTACTTGAATACATTTTTACGAGTATATTAAAGAGCTACATAATTTATTTTAAATTTTCTTTTTTTAGACAAAATTTAAATACCAGCAAAAGTTACATTAAGGTATATTTATTTACTAACATAAAATATTATAAAATTTCATATTATTTTTTTAGCTAATGATATTTTATATTATACTCTTACTTGATAGTTGATATATGCCTGCAGATATCGAGAAAAATATAATATAAGATGTTATTGATTTTATTTTTATATTTATATGTTAGAATATCTGCAGCAATAACAAATGAATTTGTATATAGTTTTGAACTTTTTTCTTTTTTTTTGCTTTCCAAGAATTCCTTAAACTAGATATTCTATAAAATAAGTAATAGTAAAAAAAAAATAAGTAATATCTTACTGACATAATTTACTTCTATAGGCTATAGTGATGCAATTATATTTCATTTAAAAAGACAATATTTTTAATAACAAATATAACGCGTATAGTGCACTAAATAAAATGTGTAATTCCTTAATATACAAATGTAATGATTATTTATTTATATAATATTGACTATTTTTTTTATGTAAACAAAACTATATGAATACTTTTTAAACGTGATAATAAATTAAAATGCAATTTGTTCGATGTACTTACTTATTTTATTTGTATGGAATATATAAACATTATGTACGTATACCAAAACAAAACTAAAATTTGTAATGGTTGTTGGGAATCATCGATAAATCTTCATTATTTTTACTAGTTATAACATATTTAGCAATAATCTTAATTATAATACATGTTATACAATATATTTATTTAATAAATATATTTATATATTTGATACATATTATGTATATCGTAAGTAGGTAGTCATGAATGTATAATAGGCTGTGAATTTGTAAAGCAAGTGTATTATTATTAAATAATTTTTTCCTAGCAGAAAGTTCGAATTATACTATCTAATGACAAATTTTCACGGACGTAATGCGAAAGCAGTCCCCGCGACGCATCAGTTCAAAACGGAAAAAAAAAATTACAAATTTAAGTTTGAAACTTTTATTTGGATTTTCATAAAGTTATTATTTTGCCTTTTTAAGTAATTTTTTTTTTCTATTTTATTTTACAGTATTATTTAATTTTTACAGGCAATTGTATGTGTGACAATCGGCTTTAAATTTTCAACATTGCATTGATTTTTACATTATTATGAAACTTAGCTTTCTCAACATAAATTTTTTAATTATACTACAGCCGATTCAATTTAACTTTTGCATTTTTTAATTTTTAATTTATGACTCGTTTTTAGATAAATTTTTTTTCTTCACTTTTAGTGATAGCGTTTTTAAAAATTGTTTGATTGAATCATACCCCTGTTTATTAACATAACTCTACCAACATTTCTTACTATTTTAAAAGGTACAATAGGCACATTCCTAACGCTTTGGCCGCTCAGATAGTCAGTTTGATAAACACCGTGTAGTCAAACAGGTTAGTATCATAAACGCAATCAACTATCAGTCGTTTGATTCGAATTAAAAACCAAAAACAAATAACTACAATCCTGCAGTATTTAGAAAATTTGTTTATGATATAACATGTATTATAGGACTGCAGGAGTACAAGTAGGTGGTACTTATATCGAATATACATATAACACTCACATTTATATTTATATGTATGTATAATATCATGATACAATCCATTGACCGTATGTTCGTGATGAAGTACAGAAACATATATTATAATATACTTTTAGACACCTACCTGGTACATTATAACAACGGTGTTATCACGATAATCGTAAAATAATATTATGAGAATATACAATATATTTTGCGAACGGCTCTGATTACATAGTTGGCACATGCGGACAAATTAATTTACCTATTTTGTATTCCATAAAGAAACCTGAAACGACAAACCCTGCAATCTGCACGCTGCTATGTTAGGAACTTAGATAGCTGGTACTAATAAACAATAGCTGCTCATATACCTAAATGCTTGCAATAAAAATTATACGTTTTGTAACAATTTTTACATAAAAAAATTTATTTTGTATAAAATAACTTAAAATAGATTTTAACGTTGCTTACTATTAAATTATTTTTGGAAGTATAGACGATTTCTCAAAATTGAAACCTTCTGCAGGCTATAAAATGCTGCAGTACTATAATTGTACAATTCCACTATTTTCTCTATTTTCTCGCATGTTCAAAGAATTTTAGAAACCTATACTTACAAAGAATTTCGTAAGTTAGTTAATAATTTGTTTATCTTTTTTTTCATCGTGAAATTGTTTAATTATTTTAAAATTGCATCAAAAAAACGTATCACGATATAAACATAGTTAATCTTGTTTGACGGTAAAATATAGTACTTAAATTTACAAAAAATAAATAATTTATAAGACAATATGTATATTTCTTTACAACTCAAATATTTCTAAAACGTACAGGTAATATTGGAAGGCTTTATTTTTTTTAATTACATACTTTGTTTGTCTATTTATCTAATAGGTACCACTACAGTAGGTCATAACTCATAAGACAAACTCACGTGTTTCTTCGTAAAATGGAAAAAATCAACAGTAAATCACGTTCAACAATAACACCATTGTGTTTTCAAACAGAACGTACAAAAGCTTCGAAAAGGGCGTAGTTCATATATATTTGAGCGCACGTGTCTAGAAATTTAACTCCAAGTCGATTTCTGATCACAATAATGCGTATCTAATATCTGTATATACGTATATGTATAGAATTGGTATGCATTTACGTTAATCAGTTGTTAAAAAAAAATTATTAAGTTATAATCAATATGAAAATGATAAAATCGTATAAAGAGTAGTGATATAGAAATATAAATGTAAACGTGTTTTAGATAAGTATTCGATTTAAATAACAATGAAATATAAACCACTAGGTACTTCTGTAATCACTACACATAAAAACTAAACGTTTTTCCTAACTTGACCTTGATAATAATTATTACAATTAAAAATTATACGTATTTATACATAGTGCAAAAAGCTGTTATAATTCAGACATTTCGATAAAATATCGTCGCGATATTATGTATATTACAATGACACTATGGCAAAGTATATACGAGGACAAGCATGCATCAAGCATATTACCTATACATTAGATATACAAATAATACATCTGAACAAAACTCAACTAAAATGTGCTGTAATAATGATAAGGATCTATCGTTAGATCATTAACGGAGATATATTTTATTTTATATTTGTTACACTTGAATAATAATACAACAATTCTTTGTAATGAAAACAATATATAATTATATGCATTAAAAAGTCACTGAAGAATACATTTTTTTTTTGTTTTGTTCGAAGATGGTATAAAAACCGAGTGACCAAGAATAAAAATGCCCCTTCATATTCCATGACCTTTTATTATAATAAAAATATAAAAAGAGTTATTGGAGGTAGAACCTTGGAAGTAATTACCATGCCGCGGTATAATTAAAAATTAATGATAATTATACTGTTCAAAATATTTATTGTTAATATATTTAATTTTATAATGAACATTTTTAAAATGTATCATAATTTTATGGTTTGTAAGAACAGTATGATTTTTTAAAGATATGCGAATGCACTATCATTTATATTATTACATTATTTACAAAATATAACGCATCGACAGTTGTGACTTGTAAACGAATAAAACAATATTTTCAGCATATTATATTACACTACTCGAGTAAAATGTAAAATTTTCAATTCTTATTGGATAGAGATAATTATTTTAACATTTAAAAATTAAAACATGACCTCAAAATTTAACTAGAATAAATTCAATTTTAAAATAATTTAGCCACTTCCTATCGCCGAAGTTCATGTAACCTATATAAATTTTGATCGATCTGCAAAATCATCGCCGCAGGGCTAAGATAAGAAACCAGTTTCGTCGTAGATATCAACTCTCCCAATATTTTATTAATAATGCAGTGTATTGTATAATAGTAGGTACTTACAAAATCACGAATTCTGATTATTATGATTTTTTATTCATTATTCATTATTACAAACTTCAAAATAATTTAAATAGATTAATTTGTATTATATACTATTATTTGATTTATTCGAAATTATTTGATATATTTTCTATAAAAAATGTTATCCACGAAGAAAATTAATTATTGTTTAATATATTTTACGTATTAATATCATCCAAAACAAAATAAAACTATAAGTATATTATATCATAAATTCACATTTCACAATATATGACGCATTATAGATACATTTTAGCATACATGGTAATGATAATGGGTATTTTTAATTTTATTATCATCCCTATTTGAGAATTAATATCTACTACCTAGCATCGCTAAACAGTCAATAAATTTATTTTGAATTCTAACAATAAATTAAACGTACTTAAATATAACTTTATATTTTAATATTAAATATTTTTTTTTAAATAATTATTCAATTATTAAATAGGTACCCCCTTATGTCTATAGTTACAGAAATATTGTAAAGATATTTTAGATTACTAATTTAAATTTTTAAATATTATATGGAACAATGTGACTATAGATTCAAAAAAATATAAATAGGTACTACTCGTATAATTAAAAAGAAAATCAAGGTTTTTTTAAAAATATTATTTAACAAGACTCGTTTGAAACCTAAAAAAAATTATTTATATTTATCATAAAATAATTAATGATACTATACAATTAAAAGTACCATAAAATCGTTTAGATCGATCTGTTTAGGTGAGAAATATTATGCCGCTTGCAGGCATAAACAAATTAAAGTACTCGCACAACTTCCATGAAACAATATTAAAATAATAATGTCAAACAACGTCCCAAGTGTTAATGTATTTCATAGGTAAAAAATTCAATTCAATATACTACGAGACTTTCTAGTTTCTACTCACTTGCAAAGTATACTGCCAAAACATCCGAAACTACTTCCGTTGGCTACGAGACGCGAGTACGAAACGGTCATATTTTAAAGAGCGTAAATCCTCGCGTTAATCGTGTATCAGTTAAACACCTCGGACACTCATCGTCACATATTATTATAATTATTATTATAACTATTACAATCACATAACATTTAATTATTGTGTAACCAAATTATGTTGTTCCGTGAAAACTAATAATGTGTGAATAGATTTATCAGAAAAAAATCACCAAAACGCGAAGATCGATTAACGGATTTTTATTCGGTTTTATTAACGATAACAAAAAATATATTATTATTATTATTGAATAACACTTAAACGTATCTATGAATTAAACGACAAACACGACAGAGATAAAATTAATATAATATAATATAAATATGTGTTAATATTTTATTAATATTATTATTATTTCTAATACACACACTCGCGCGCTTGAACTCGCCAATCAGTCGTTCGACTTTCCGTCCGTACGGTTCTGCCACTTCTGTCGGTATCGTTCTGCAACCGCCAGACCATCAACGGTCTACGTATGCGTTATTTTCACTGCTCTCCCACCATCACTCCAATCGTTTTATGTATCGAAAACCTGCATGGTGTACCGGTGTAGTGTTAATGTATAATATTATGGGTACAGGTAGTATAGGTAAGGCAAACGCTACCATTATTATTATTATTATTATTATTATCATCATCATCACGATGCAGCCTAGGTACCTTTAAATGTATTATGTTTGTAGCTGACGTACAATTTTATATAATATATTAAAATACAATAATACGCGAATATAAGTTTAATATGTAATAACAGATAATGCATAAGTACATAGAAATATAATTTAAGTGTCTTCGCAGAAGTGCTTGTTTATTAATACTGATCAGTGGACGTACTTATGATCACTTAAATACGTCTTATTACATTTTTTTCTATTAAAGTTTATCTTATGTATTTCACGAGATGATTAAAAAATTATTACATTAATATTATATTCACGGTGACGTTTTTCGTTCTCTTTTTTTACCCCGTACAACAGGCCCTAAACTTAGCTATAGGTAATACATGAATATTGTTATTACCACATAATAGTATAAATAAGCCTATACAACGACGACGTAAATAGGTAAATCTAGTAAATCAAAGCTAATAACATTATATAATATGCATAGGAACTTCGTAGTCGGCAATGACTGCAATGGCATTTAACCATTTAATGATATTAATATAATATAGATAGGTATTAGGTAGGTGATACGTAAAATGTATACATATTGCGTATTTCTATCCAAATAACAGGAGTTCATTTTTTCTTAGTCTATATTCAGTCGGTGTTAACATTCCTCTGAAACACACACCGATAACAAAGTTCATTAAACACTATTGCAAAGATTCTATGATATAAATGTAGGTAAAATAAGCAAGCAGGCCTATTGGCACTCCTTCCTAATCTACTAAACGACTTGCGGCTGTGTACATATTAAAAAATTGTAAAAAAACATAGTCATTATATATTATAGGTACATTACAGTACTAATTCTACTATGTATATGTGAATGAACATTTTCCACCAAACAAAGATTAAATTAAGCCATAAATAATTTTTCAATGGCTAACGAAAGAATCAATTTAATATTGTTTATTATTAGTTAATATAATAAAATAGTAACTATACTAATTTTCTAGAAAAATTATTTTAAAATTGTTAGGTATCTGTTTAAAAATTATAGGGCTTAAGTGACCTTGTTGATTTATAATTCAATATGTGCACCTTATGGTACAGGCTGCCTGGCACAACTAAGGAACATCATCTTAAGGATAATTCATTAAGCGTAATATGAAAAATATTTCTTCTCCCATTAAACAGCCAACTTAATATACCTAAATCAAATCAATAATAAAATATAATTAACGATATTACTCATACTCGTATTTATTAAAAAATGTTAACATATATTAATTTTTCTATTGTTTAACACAAATGTACTAAGAATGCTTTAATCATAAATTTATTGCATTGGCAAGATGTCTTTCTATGTATATTCACAAATAAAGATTACAGACTTGAAAACCAATTTTATTGCATACTATTGTCATGATCCTATATTTTACTTTTTGCATGACCAAAAAATAATTATCCACGCGTAACAGATGGATGCTACAAGAATAATTTAGATGACAACTACTTAAATTAATTTTTATAAATTCCAATTAACATAATGATTAGATAATCGTACTTCTAATTACTCAAAGTTATAAACTGTGAGTTAAACAATTTTTTCTAACTCAACATTAAAATTTCTGTTTTTTATGAACTTATAAAAAAATATGAAACCGAAAGTTTAAAAGTTCTAAATTTTGAGCACTCTCTGACTCTGTTCTCCATATAGTTGTGCCAATGCTTAGTGTACCTATATAGCTGCAGAGTATAGATTGTATAAAACAGCACAGCAACGAGTGATATACTATATTATACTATTTATATTATAATATACTTTCGAATAATATTCGGCACAAACCGAACCTCAATACGGTATCAAAAGTGACGGACACTCCTTTAGCCGTCATTTTCTTGAAAAGAGCCCAACATTCTTTCTCTTTGTCGGATTTGAGCATTGGTTGGCCATCGAGTACGTCGTAACGGACGTCGATCTGGGCGATTTCTTCGTTTTGCAGCGTTTCATTTTCGTCACCGTCGTCACTAACTTTGGAGATTACAACCTCTTTTACAATCGGCCCATCGTCTTCATCATCCCTAAAATTAAACGATAAATTCGTATTTTAATATTACTACTTCAAACAATTATTACCAATTCAAACGAGACATACATTATATTATCGATTTTCATCTTATGTCAAACAATTTGATATATGTTTAACGATATAATAGCTATTTAATAATGATATAGCCTATAGTTTAGTACAACCGAAACACTAGTAACGTTTTGATGGGGTAATTTCGACAAGGTAAGATATTCGCGTGATATACATAATATACCTATTTGCGTATAATTTTACTATCACATTCAGGCATTTTTTTCATTTATATATTATTGGGCACATCAATACCTACAATCTACATATATATATTATTGTTTGTCGTGTTAACATGCAGTAAAATTATTGCAAAAACTTGGATAATTTTCAATAAATTGAAATGATGGATATATAGCATGCCGACCATACAATATGTAAGGTTCCATAATGTAGGTCATGTCGTTAAATAAATGTATGCGATTTTAACTATTACAAAATAAAGATATCTTCATAATCCATGTGTTACACTTGATAATATAATAGCAACGTATCATCTATAAAATACTAAAACGTGTCGTTTAATATTATTAAAAGGAAAACATGCACGTGATATTATCTTATGATTTATGTACATATATCATGAAAAATTGTTTTCTGAAAATACGATTTTCGTTATTACATTATGCAATTATTTTTATATCCTTAGACTCAATATTATAATATACATTACTCATTACACCGCTTAACAAAAAAAAAAAAAGATTTTTCATGTAGATAATTAATATTGTGTTAAATGTAATATTGAATATAATACAAACCAAGTACTTATTGTTAAATGTTTAAAAATGTTAATGCCTTATAAAATAAAAAGGGTAATTTTCATTTTATATTTAGTTATCTACTAATTAGATGAAACATTTTTGTTTGGAAAAATCTCAAATTATATTAGATTATCAATTTAAAATCAAATCAATAAAATCCTACAATATTAGCTTGGTTATTTCAAACATTTTAAAATTAATCTACAATAATTTATTTTTGAATTTGAATTTGAATTTGAATAAATTAGTAAAATATATCCCCAAAATAATAATCATATTTTTACGATTAACCTAAATTAATCTAATTTTAAGCACCTAAATTATTATACTTAAAAAAATAAAAATGACAATTTACAAAAATTCAATCCTATATTAACAGAAATATTTTTAATATACCTTGATATCTCCATTGTTTTTGATTTAATTAATGATTTTCCAACACGATTGTTAAGAAGTTTTGGTTTTCCAATCGATGTCATTGCGCTATCAAATGATTTTTGATGATAACGCATACTGTTATTGAACTGAGGAAATGTAACTATAAAATAATAAATTATCATTATTAGAAATCAAATGACTGTTTCCTATTTACGTATTTCAATTGAATTAATCCAACCATTGTTTATAATGTAGTTTATTAGTTATTACTAACGCAGTTTTGACTAATTTCATTAAACACATACAACAATAATTCTTTCAAAACTATTAAATAGCTTAAAAAGTTTTTGCATAACTTGTAAGCATGAGCATAAAAACTTTATTTTTATTTTTCAGTTGATAACGTCATTACAACAAGTAAAAACAAAGTTCGATAAATTATACCTACTTAAATAAAAATCCATTTAAATTCGTATCAATAATCATATGCGCTTGAAAAATGGTCTTCCTGGAATAACTTTGAATAATAAACTACTCGACAATTGTAAAAAATTATTTTATAAGTAAAACAATAATTTGAACAATTTTAAATATACAATTTCAATCAATTAGATTAAGATGGCTACTTTAGCTAAATATAATATAGGTTTAAAATATTAATGGCCTTAAATTAAAATTGAATGCTTCATTTAACTTATTACATAAGTACCTACCTTTAATAGATACACATCTCTTTGTATTATATTAATACATTTCTATATATTAAGATAATACAACCACTTAGCAATACTTGATATTCTTTACAAATGTTCTTAATTTTTTGTATAATATTTTATATAATATTTATTATCAAAAAGCATATTAATAAAAAAAAATATGTATTTTTATTATATTATTATTTTCATGTACTTAATTGGATATTAAATATCACTACGTTATTAATGATTAATTGACTTAATGTAAATTTCTTTTTGTTTATAATGTAGTTATTTTTTTTATCATTCTTTGAGTATCTTATTTATTTATTTTAAATTGTGTAAAAGTAAAATTTTGCTACTTATTTAATTTAGAAATATTAATGTAAGTTTAATTACAAAACATTTTAACTCAAATAAAGAAATTAGCCATAATAACGTATTTTGTGGACCAAATGATATGTAATGCTTTAAATTTCTACTTATTTAACCTAACTCGATTATAATCAAATAATATTTTTATCAGTTATAAATATTATATTATTTTTAGTAATTAAAACAATTTATTTACCAGTTTTTGTGGATACGTCATCGGGTGCTAACGATTCCTCTACATCGCTTCCAACTGGGCTTAAAAGTGACATCATCGTTACTACTTCGACATTTTGATTCTTTTTACCAAACTTTTGACCATTTGGCAAACGATTATCCACATCAATGCTTTTATGGAAAGCTTTACTTCTACAAGACTTTAATTTCCTGGTCGGAAATTTATGAATATCTTGGGATTTTCTTCGTGAACTTGCTGAATAAATTCCTTGAGAAGAGTTTACGATTTGTTGCCTCGACGAAGGCGCCGACATTGCTCTGGTCAAAGTTTGTCTTTCATTCTGCTGTTGTTTCGCAGTCTTGTAAAACCTAACTCTTCTCGCGGCAGCCGAAAGAGGTTTTTCCTCCTCACTAGAGTCTTCTGGTGAATTTTCACCTTCTCCCGCATGGTTCTGAAGTTGCACTTCTAACGCGGTTCTACTAGAGTCTCTTTCTTCTACTTGTATTGAAGACTCTTGTGCATGCTCTATGGATTCCATCAAAGGGTCTTCGATAACATTTCTAGCCAAATAAATATTAATACATGATTTCGACTGTTCCCGATCGATCCATGCCTGTTTTATTCTTTGTGCAAACTGTTCTTTAGATTCATGTAAAACTTCTGGTTTTAAACATACTTTAGTCGGGTTCGCTGTGGGTCTAGATTTTTTTTCATTTTTTAAAAGCTTATTAATAGAACGAGAAATCACTTCTGTACTGCAATTGCTATCTGTTTCGGTTTTATTGAAATTGGAATCTTTTTGTAACCATCCTTTTTTTGACAATAGTTTTTTATCATCTTGACTATCTACGCGGTTATTTGACAAATGTTTAGACTTTTGACTATCTGTTCCATACTTATTTAGTACGTCTTTAGACATGCCAAACAATTTTAAGTTTACCTACCTAAAATGTGTAATATACATTTTATTAGCTATAATATATATTATACATATAGAACCCTTCTTAAACAAACATGCAGAATTGATCTGAGTACATTTAAATTAAATAACAAAAATAAGGATAGGATTATAATTAATAAATAACAAAAACAAAAATTAATAAATTAATTAAAAATTCTATTCTAAAAATGTGGATCGTGAATAGCTTATAAAATGTTGGCTCAAACAAACAAAACCAAAACACGGCACTAAAATGATGTGGGTATATCGATATGTTCATTCAATTATTGAGTCAAAATTAGTTAGTAATAAAGTTTAAACTAAAAATTCAAAAATTTTAAATAAAAAAATACAATATCAATTACATTTGAATTTTTTATACATATAATATTTTATTTTATTATTTTATTATTTTTCGTTTTTTTTTTTTTTTGCTAATAATTATAAATTATACATTATAATATTATCAAACTAAAATAATACCTAAAATAAAAATGTTTTTATAAATAAAAATATAAATAAGTATATTTATCATGAGAAGGACATAAAAACTTTTGTTGTTTTTAAATATACTTTGTATAAGCAAATTATATTTATTTTAAAAATATATTACTTAATTTAAATATAATTTTAAACTATTAACAAGTTAAGGGTATTAGTAACTGAAACTTCCTAATTACTGTATATTTGTATATTTTTTATTATAAACACTAGACTACACAATATAACAAAAATTATATGTATGACACGTGATATGGCAAAAAAATTAAATTAAATTATAATTATTTTAGTATATGGCTTAAAATAAATTATTTAGTTATTTTAATATTTATTTATTTTAATACTCACATATTTTAATAAAGATACCTTGGACGCGTACATTCGTCTCCGACAATGACACAGACACTTCTAAGCGTATTTGATTTGTCTTTTACATGAACTTCTCATAATTTATTGATCTTGAGAAAATATTGTTTTCACGGTATTTTCATGCGTTTTTACCGGTATAATGACTTTGTTTATAATACATCACCAAGACGACAAACCATCGACCAACTATATTTAGTCGCTTAAATGTTTTTGCATACTTTTTTACTCTTCTTAACACATTTGAAGTGTCGTTATAATTAATTGTTTTTAGAATATACATTTAATACGTAATTTTGACATTTGTCTAAAGTTAATGAACTTTCAACACTTTATAATAAATTATTTATTATAAACTTAATAGTTCGATTTTAATCGTTTGGTAGACGTACTATTATTTCAATCATTGATTATAAATATTATAATTTATTAATGAAGTAATGTAATTGTTCATGTACTGATCGATTGGTTAAAGTATACCTACACGTAAAAATTATTAATTAATTCAGCGATTTTGAATTTAAATGATTCTAAGCCTATTATAATAAATAGGTACTACATAATAATCATAATACATATAGTATATAGAGTATATTATATATTAAAATTGTAATTTATAACAAGAGTGCATTAAAATTTTTTCACAGATATAGTTAACACATTCGAGACGGATCACGCGCATAACGCGTGATGTCAATATTACTGTTATGGACGACGGATTTCGGCGGACGTTAGTTATAGTGGACGGAGCGTTTTTAACTTATTTCAAATATTTATTACTTCGTCGATACTTAACCAATTTTGAAAAACAAAAAACCTATTTACTAAGCAGTTATTATTAAATATTTTTAAATACTCAACAAATAATAGTAAATTATTCTATTCATATAATTATTTTATTAAAATGTACTGTTTCTAACAACAAAAAAAAAGTTGACCAGCATAATAAAAGTGCTAAAATAACTAAAAAAAAATTAATATTTTACAAATAAAAATGAAATATAATAATTACAACCAATACTTTAATACTTATCATACAAAAGTATGATATGTTTCAAAACATTGATCAACACAATGGAAATAAGAAATATAAATAATAATTCGTTATTATATGGTTATTCTTTAGTATAAATGATGAATTTCAGAATTAAAATCGTAAATAGTCTTCTTTCTATAAATATTTAATGCAATTCATTGAGTTTAAAATCTTTTTGATAAAAATATGTCAATATTTATTATACACACCGTGTATCGTTATTATTTTATAAACATTAATTTTAGCGTTCGGTTTCATTCATACTCGTTTATTCATATATTGATATATTATGTTTATGTTTAAACTAATTCAATGTTATATGTGTATTTAAAAATATACTTAGTAGATATATACTTAAAAATATATAATTAGATAAAATTCACGAGAAATATCCAATATATTTGAAACAAAATTATAAGTCAATAGAAATTATTTTTGTAGACAAAATGCAATTGTTGTCATCAGTTAAAAATAAATTAGAAACAATGCTCCACGTGGAGCCAACTATTTATACATTTTAATTTTCGATGTTGATAATTTTAACACTATCGATTCTATCGATTGATGAAAATACGAAAAGTGTAGAATAAAAATTGAATTTAATATCGATGTCTAAAAATCATCACGCGCTTAACGCGTGATCCGTCTTCAATGAATAAAATACTGTAACGCGCTCAGCGCGTTATTCGTCCTCAACGTATTTTTCTATTATTGTGTTTCGTCTCGAATGTGTTAAGGATATTTTTAGGGAAGTTCCTTGTATGATAATAGTTCCCCTGCTACTATATGGACGTAAATAGGCGGAGAAGGGTGCTCGAGAAAGTTTAGCCATCATTAAGCTATCTTAAGCCCTTTCTAAGATATACTTAATTTTAATACACAGTCAATTATATGATAAATAATTTAAAATCAGTATTTATAATATTTATAACTAATTAATGATAATAACTATTGACTACAAATATTATAAAATAATATGCAAGTAAGTTTTCATCGGATTTTCGTTTTAACATTCCATAAACAGTTTGTGGTCTGTTTAATTATTACGGCTTGGCACTGCGTTTAAACGAAATACATCATCGTCCGATTATTTAAATCAGCGTACGAGCAGCGAATGTGTATGCATGGGTACAATCATAATGCGTCGTCCAAACATAAATATTACAGATAATTAAAATATATACGAATCTATCACTCTTTTTGTTCTTGAAATCTCTTGAGATCAATCCTAATGCATTTAAAGACCCTAAACAAAAATTCAAAAATTAATTTAGTTTTATTTATTTATTTTTAAATTTTTAAACACATCTTTATAAATAATATATATTATCCATAATACCTATATTTTTGACATTTTTGTACGACTATTCTCCACACTTGTCTTTTATTTTATCACAATTTCTTGATTTATCAAAATGAAAATTTCAATAAATTCTTATAAATAATATTTTTTGACAGGATATAAATATAAAGTCTTAATCCTCTGCAAATCATAAATCAAAAACCAATTTGCTTCTGATAAATTTATTTAAAAAATGGAAAATATCATTACCATAACTACCATAGATATAAATATAGTGTACCGTCTGATGATCCTCAAATTTCTTTACCAAGGTGATTGGGTTCATAATTAAAAAATCAAGTTTTAAAATTTCGATTTATAGAATGCCAAGATTTATAAAATCTATGTTTTGGAATATAAAGACTGTAAATAGGTTGTAAATAATAAACCACTATTATTACAACGCTAATAATTATTATGTTATTACAAATACCTACATTAACTGAAAACATATTTTTTATTAAAACTGTGTTAATTAAAATGATGATTATATTTTACATTTCTACTTTAATGATAATAATGTCTACAAAACAAATACTGTTTATACAATTTTTAAATATTTTTGTTTCAATATGAACTAATTATTATATTGTATAATCTTACAATAAGTTTTTAATTATCGACATTTTTTGGAAAAAAAAATCAAAGTTTCAAATGTTCATAAATATCACAAAAATAATTAAAATATTTTGATGCTAATTTTTACTAACTTATCTAAATATTTATTGAAAATTTAAAGTGTCTACAGTTATTAGTTCTTGAATTACAATAACATAACAAAATAAGAATATCGATAAAGTAAAAAATTGGTTTTTCTTAGTTTAGATTTTGAGCAGAACTTATTTTTTCTCTCTGTCTTGAATTCATCACCTTTTAGGGAAGTAAAAGTTGCTTTGATTTTCAGCTTTGGCGGTAACTTCTGGTAGCAAATTGGATCTAGTTGGTACTTTAAGTAGCAAAAGTAAACATTTGTCATTGACTTACTTAATAATTAGGAAAAATGGAATTTTTAAGAAATCTAATTTTTGACAAAACTAATTTGTGCGCGTGTGTGTAAATCAAAAATAAATAATTAAATAAACTTAAAATTTTCACCAAATGTTTATAATAACATTTTTTATTTATGATAATTTTTTTTAAATATTTTGACTTTTTAAACTATTATTTATTGGCATCAGGCATGATTGTATGAGAAATTTATATTTTGTTTCTATAAATATCGATTAATAATAATTATATGGGTAGAAATACGTGAAAATTTAACAAAAAGTTCTTCATAAATTGTTATAAATGTATACAAGGCTTGTGTCCCTTGTGTCAGTCCGGCCACTTTTCCCATTACTATTAACTATATTTTTAACTACTTTATTTTAATTTTTATTTCTCTTATTTTTGTGTTAATACAAAATCATCTATACAGACTACTCATAGACAACAATTAAATAACATACATCATTATTAAATCAATAGATTAATTACTTCGCTCAAAATCTAAAATGTAGATATATATTAATACTTATGTATCTATTTAAATAAGTTTTCATAGAAACTTATTAATAAAATTATCGCTATCCACTGTAGTTCAATATTTTATGTGCCCTCCCATTCCTATACTCATAAATGTCAATATGATTCACACAAACCATAGCACATTATACCCTTCTTTTCTGTTTGTCGATATATACCTAATAACTAAGTCAATAAAAAAATTGTATTCCAATTTTCACTTTTTCAACAAAATAACAATATTCATTACCTACAAAAAAATAAACACTAATACGTTCAAGTAGCTATGTATAAAAAATATCATCCAAAGCGAACATCCCTCATAAGTCTTAACACCACCATAAATACGTTTATATACGTCTCTGGTACTCGTGTATGTGGTATAATTATGTGTTCAAATTGTTCAAAAGGATTCTATATAAATGGTCATCGATCCCGAAGGGACGTGAGGTAGTTGGGCGGCTCATGCATAAGTAGATACTATGGATGCAAAATCATTTCATAAAATTAATCATATAATCAAACTTTTTATTTAAAATATATAATAATGAACGTGAATTTAAATAAAAAAATTTTAAGTTTAAGCTAAGTATAGATGAAGTGATTATTTTAACATATAAAAATATAAAATACCTACATAGCTTACACACTACAACTATAAGGTTTTTTTTAATTAAAATAAATTTTAATAAGTACGGGACAAAAAAATATAAAATAATAAAATACAATACAATAAAATGTATTATTTGGTAACGGTAAACAAAACTGCACATTTCTTCGTTTTATGATGTCTTAATCATTAGGTATGTTATAATACCATTATGGCAATATTTATATTAAATTATAATTAAATAATATTTTTCCGGAGAGGAAGCAAGTGTTTTGACCTTTCATCAAAAAGCAACCATAACCAAGTTTATTTTTCTCTTATAGATTACACATTAGCATTTAACAACAGATCAGCTGAGTGCCATACATTGTAAATTCATAGTTTCAACTTGCAGATATACCTTATTGTAATCAAATTTAAAAATGTCAAAAAGTATTTATTCTTTACCTAAGTTTAAATGTCGATGTCAAAAAAACTATTTGTATACATTTGCATATTTATTCTGATTGATAATATGATATGCTAACTGAGCACAAAATTTGCTTCACGACGCAACGATTTAAAAAATGAAACTTATTTAGTACATATTTTTGCATGTTTCGATATTTTTCTATTTTAAGGGCTTATTTTATGATTTTAATTGCATATTTCATCTTGTAGTGCATATTTTGATGTTTTTTTAGACATTTTTTAAATAAATACTATTCAGTTAGTTACAATATAAGAAAAAAATATTTTATTTGTATACTCGTAGTTTCGATTAATATCAAAATAAATTAATAGGTATAAACGGTTTTTCCAAATATGACCTTAGATCAATAATTAGAGAAATTAAATATTTAGATTAATCTTAACAAGATAAGAAAATATTGATTTCGTCAGTAATTTAACACTAACATTATTTCACTATTGTTCAAAAAATAATTTTTTTACTTTTGTACATATTTTAACATTTCAGAGTATATATTTATGCATATTTAAGATTTTTTAGCGCATATTTGGTTGGTTTTTAATGCATATAAATCCACGCTCTATTTATAAATATGTATATAAAAAAGCTAAGTGCCTAAGTGCAGGCTAAGTAGTATTCTAGCAAACCAAATAAAAGTACGTTTTGTCATGTTCAATATTGAAAAAAACACGATAAAATTACATTACAATAGTTAGAAATAGGTTATCAAATTAAAATATTCATTTATTTTATTAATAATATTGATTAAAACAAAGTTTTCTGAAATACCTAGTTAAAACTTAGAATTAAGAGTTATTTTTTATGAATGACAAGCCTGTATTTAATTATTAGATTAAAATTTTAAGAATTGCCAATTATATTAGGTAACTAGAACCAAATACCAAAGTCAAGAAATGTTCATAACACCACTAAATATCCGAAAATTTATACGACTCAATATTTATATAAATGTCATTGAACAAGAAATTATTTAATTTATAAGCAACTGAAAAAAAAAAAAAAAACAAGAATCACAGAATGAAAAATCTTACCATTGGAAGAACTTCTTTAGCTGCAAATGAATTTGTTAATTTTCGTGATTTTATCAAAATATCAATTACAGAAACTTATAAATTTTAATTCAAATTGAATTAGGACGAAATTATATATTAATGAAGAGTAACAATTTGATTTATTTTGTAGTAATTCAAAAATATTTTTTATGGGTAGGTATTCAGAAAATTTGAACGTACCTATTACATTTTATTTACATAGTACATACATACAATGACATTTTAAAATGCAATGTTTAGAGCAAAAAATATTATTTATTCATCGTAGTATAATCGGTTTACGGTAGGTATACCACATACGACATATATTATATTGTGAATGATCTTGATCAAGCTAAATAATTCAAATACCTATTCAGTATTCATTCTTCAATACCTACTATCTTGGAAATTTTGTTTCTGTAGGAACGGTATCATTGGTAGAATAGTTATTACAATTATTTATCATTTTTATTATACTATATAATCCGTTGTATTTATTATTGTACGTTTTACTCACTGTGAATTTACGTTCTCGTGAGATTGGCAACACTTGATCGGTTTGGAAAATTTCATTGGCTACCTGCCGGCTGTTATAACATCCCAAACAAATAACAACCGTCCACTACAATATAGAAGTTGGAATAAAGACAATTCGAATTAGACAAATTTTAGTACCCACTGTTTCTCTTAAAATGACCGTTATATTTTTTGATGCCGAAGCTGAAGTCAATTGTTGACTATTTGTGTTATGTTTACGTGTATTAAACTATTGCACTATTGGATTGCTTGTTACATAAAGTTTAGTGTTTAGTGTTTACCATTTAGTGCTTACCTTTAATAATTATATTGTGTTCATTAAATAAATTATTTTTTTGTAAGTATCTGATAAATTGTAAATAGTAATAATATGCCTATCAATTGTAACATAGTATTCGTTTTAAACTACCTATTAATTTTAATTTGGTAGTATAATATAATGAAAAAACTATTTTTAAACTAATGCTTTAATATTTAAAAAAATACTTCATCATCTTATATAAAGTCCACAATAATTAAAAATGTATAGATTTTTCACTTGTATCTATTTAATTGGAAAACATTTTAATATAATAAATAAATTGATATATTATTGCCTAAATGTAATAAAATAGAAACTAATATTAGCTAATCTGAATGCATTAAAACTATTGATACACATAAAAAATAATATCAATAATTTATTCACTTCTTATTGTCAAAATACTTATAGCAATGTGTATCTAGTTAATAATTTGATAGGTTAAAAATGATATATGTCCATTATTTTGTCAGATATATATTAAAATAAAACTATTATCATGTATATGTATGTATTTATCTATAATTTGGCTTACTTGATTATATATTAATAGACTAATACTTATAAAAACAATTTTATTATTATTTGTTACTAGGTTATAATATTTAAGGAGAAATAATGAATGATTCAAAAGATCATCATTCTACTGGTTCTTATGTTGAACCAAGAGTTCCGAGTATAACTGGTTTTGGACAAAGAAAAATTAATGGAAAACCTAAGAAAGTACTAGATTATTCTTTGGAAAAATGTAATGACCATTCTGGAATTCCAAAAATTGATGTTTGCTTACGCTTAAAACCGAGAATAAATAGTATTCCTACTGAAGTAAGCCAATGAAAATATTGATAATTTATAAGTACTAATGAATTTCATGATTAAATAACTTATTTTATTGTAGCTTGATACATTAACAATATTGAGTGATAATATTGTTGCTTGTAACAATGGAAATGCTAGAGACGATGTTACAGAGTAAGATATTTTTCTTGGTTTATAATGAATTTTTTTCTAATATTTTCTTTCTTTCTCTATAGGTATACATTTTCTAGTGTATTTGGTCCAAATGTTGATCAAAAAAAATTTTTTGATACCTGGGTATATGATAAAGTATTAAGATTTCTAAATGGAAACAATGAATTATTATTTGCATATGGAACAACAAATGCAGGAAAAACATATACAATTCATGGTAATTAAATAACTAATTTGTATGTTATTTTTTTTTTAAACAATATTAATATATTTTATTATTTTATAATGTTTCTAGGAAATATAAATGATCCTGGTATGATACCTAGAACTTTACTACTTGTCTTCAATTCATTAGATAAAAAGTTAATGTCACAATGTAAGTACAAACCTGATAAAGTTATTGCAGCCCATATTTTGGATGAAAAGTTAATAGAATATGAAGAGGATATTAGAAATAATATTTTAAACAATTGGTGTAATGAGAAAACTCAAGTAATTATAAAATTAATTAATTAATTATTTTTTTACTTACTAATTTCTGATTAATTAAGGATGAATTAAAGTCTTGTATATCTCATTTGGATGAAGGACAAACTATACATAGCATTGATCAACTTACTAATCAAAGCATTATAAAAATGTTTGATTGTTTGAAAAACGATGGAGTAGCGTCTTTGGATCATGGCAATGTCTCCTACACAGTTTGGGTTTCATATTCTGAAATTTACAATGAATCCATCTATGATCTGTTGATAACTTATTCACCTAACCAAAAACGAGCACCTCTAAAATTATCACTTGATCAAAATAAGAATGTATATGTTAAAAGTAAGATAGTTATTTAATATATTTCTGTAGCAATATATATATTTAAAAATAGAAGTTGTTATTATTATTAATAAAATATATATAAAAACTAAATATATATTGAAATTAAAAGTAATAGAATAAAAATATTTGCGGCCATTAATATACTGAATTATTTCTTTTTAGGGTTCATATTCTAGTAACAGTCAAATTAATTTACTGATTTGCGAGTATTATTATTTATTACATAACACTGCATTTTCACCAGACATTTTTTTATAGTAAATATTTTGTTGTATTCTTAAATTTTCAAGCTCCCTATTACCAGCATTGAATTATTCATGACTTATTGATTTGCAAAATCTGCTTTTGCTTTCAGGATCAAATCTTCAATAATGATATTAGCATAGGCGTAACTAGACCTTAAAGTTAGGGGGGCTTCAGCCCTAGAATTTTTATTATAAGTAAATTAAGTGGGAGGCTCTGCCCTCCATACCCCCCAAACACCTTACATTCATTGATTATACATGTAATATAAATGTAAATTAATAATTAATTATAAAAAAAATAATAAACCAAGTGGTATTGAGGTTAAATATTTATGTATTAACATATTATTAAGTATTATTTTAGATATAAAGAATTTAACGATTTTTAGTTTATTGACAACTTTTTAGTAGGGAGTATTTGTGTAGTAAAAATTACACAGGATCATTACATACAATAATATAGTTTAAATTAATATTTTTCCAAGATATTAATAAAAAATAAAACGATATTTTAAATTTAAGTTTAAAAATGTTACTATTATTGGCAGGAGTGTGGGACTAAGAATTATGACAGGGGGGGGCTAAAATTTATATTTGGGGGGACTAAGCCCCCCTAAGTCCCTCCCCTAGTTACGCCTATGGATATTAGGTTTGCTGCATTGCTAAAATTATACATTCTTTATCTGAAAATTAGAAACCTCTTTTTTTTATTTACACTTTTCAAGTGTAAATAAATTTCTTCAGTGTTTTTCATTATAGTAGTTAATGTATTTTCTGATATTCTAGATTCTTCAATCATATATCCGTTTTATTTCTTATTTTTTACTGATTATAGTACCCTTTAATTTACACTGAGTTATCAAATTATTGGGCATTTTCGAGTTAAAAACCGATAACATAATATGATTGATTGATTGCAATAAAAATACCTAGCCGAATGGCATGAAAAACATTATAAATAGTACATTTAAAGTAAATAGCAATACCATACTAACATTTATGCAAATCAGCTAGTGTGTTATTAAGGAGCTTATAGTAAAAACCTCAAATATGAAGCTGTCAATATTTGGTACACATAATGTTTAATTTATAAAATAAATATGGCATTTATTTTGGGTTATTGATATTATGATTGATGTACTTTTATTCTCATTAAATTTCAAACTATTAATATCGTATTAAATAATTTTATTTATATTTCTATCAAAAACTAAAAAATTGTATTCAAATAGATTTTTTCAAAACTACAAATAACAGTATACATTTTAAAAATATATCTGCTAATTTATACATTTTTTTTTAGATCTCACTCATGTGTTTGTTCAGTCTGCTGAAGAAGCATATAAAGTAATGTCTTTTGGAAGAAACAATTTAAGAATTGCAAGTAACAATTTAAATAAATCTTCAAGCCGTTCACATTGTATTTTCACATTAAAACTAATGAGAGTGGAAAACATTGAAAATCCTAAAACAGCTGTTATTAGCAGGTTTAATTTTGTTTATGATTCATAAAATTAATACAATATCATATTAATTTTAATATTTTTAAATTTTGATTTTCAGTATTTCATTTTGTGATTTGGCTGGTTCAGAACGCCTTAAAAAAACTATGAATATTGGTGATCGCCTTACAGAATCTAAAAATATTAATACTTCACTATTAGTTTTAAATAAATGCTTCTCTGTATTACGGTATATAAAAATCAAAATAAATTAAGTATTTTTAACATTTTATTTACTAAATATGGTCTATTTTTTTTTTTTAGTGAAAATCAAAAAAAGGGAGAAAATCATTTGGTACCTTATAGAGAGTCAAAATTAACTCAGATGTTTCAAACCGCTTTAACTGGAAACAACAGAACCGGTATATCAATGGCAGTTAACGTGGATATGTCTCCAAATCTATTAGAAGAAACCAAACAAGTATTATTTATGTCTGCTATTGTGCGTGCAATTAATAAAACAAAATCAAAACCCATTTCAAAACCAAGACCAAGTTTTGCCATATGGGCTGCTAATAACAGAAAAAGTTTAAAACAGGCAACCTCCAAACAAAGTATTTATATATTTTTAATATAAAATGTATTTCATCAAACACATCAATACTAATAGATATTTATAAATATAAAGGTCCAATAATTGAAGATGAGAACAGCATAAATGAATCGAAATGTGAACATAAATTGGTATGATACTATTATAAATAAAGTTTATCAAAACTGTTTAATAAATATTAATTTTTAGATTTCTAATGAAGATTTTGAAGCAAAACTCAAAGAAAGGGAATCAATACTTCGAAAAGAATTACTCCAACAATTTCATTCAATTTTAAATAACAATAATGCATTTCACAAGTAAAATTTTATTTATTTATAAATATTCTAAAACTAAATAAACCACTTTTTTAATATTCGTTCATTTTTAGTAAACAAAAAGAAACTATGATAAAAAATAAAACAGAAATGTATGAAAATAAAATAAAACGATTAAAAGCATATTATATTGAAGAAATTCGAGAGAGGGATGAGAAATTAGCAGTAAGTTATTTTGATTCTTATTTAAATCATCTATTTATTACTTATTATTAATTTCAGCTTCATTCAAATCCTAACCTCACAAATACTTATGAAAATAATAAAAATAAGAGTGAAATGGAAAATTATGAATTTAGAATTGGAGAACTTGAAATTCAAAAGGAAGAATTACTTGCTGAAATTAATGTAAAATTTACAAATTTAAATTAAAGTAATCATTATTTTAATTGGTGTTTTAACCTTTAATAGGAATTGAAAAATGTTCATGATTTAAGGAAAGAAGATATTGATGTTAAAAATCGTGAAATTGAAGTAATAATTTTGTATAAATATAATTAATATATTTATTAGTTATTTAAATATTATTATATTTAATTTAGAACTACAAAGCCATGTTAGATGAGGCAAATACTGAATATGAACAAATGGAAAATGTTATAAATGAGATGAATAACAAATTTGATATGCTGTATCAAGAACTTGAAGACAAAGTAAGATGATGTGTCTTCTTAATTATTTTTTATAAATAAATTTATTTGAAAGTTGTTTTTAAAAACAAATTTTATGTTACAAAATCTAAAGCTGATGTTGATTTGTTTAATAACTGATATTTTCTAATTAAAAAAATAGGCCTTTTTTTAACAATTTAAACTTAAACATCTAATTAAATGCACGTGCCATTTTGCACGCAGCTTCCTGCATTATAATAATACTTGTAAAGTTATTATTATTATTATGTTAGTGATAATTCATTTTGGTTTATTTTATTTATTTAATCCTTGAATTTAAATATACATATTATTTATATTTAAATTAAATAAATTATTATGTTAAGAAACCAATTAGAGCCACCATCACTCACATAATACACAAATTAATATTTATATAGCTCACAGTATAATCAAGTAGACCATACTCTCTAATAATAAAGAAGTCCAACAAAGTATAAATCTAATTTCAAACTGTTTATTTTTATACTCCCCGTGTTATACATAATATTATACATAATAAAAATTTATATTTTTACAAATAATTGTTTTATAGAATTTAGAAATTGAACGACTTAGTGGTTCTTTAGAAGCCAAAGACAATTATATTACAGAAATGGAACTGCTACAAGAAGAACGTATAACTGAAGTGGTAAGCTATTTTTTTATACATTGTCTAATTGCTAAATATTTGAAAATACAAATCAGAATAGCTTGTTTTAATATAACAAAAATTTATTGGGCTAGTTCTTGTTTATATTAAATGAAAACAAATAAATTATTTATGGTACAATAAAAAAAAAAAATTTAACTTTTTAAATGTTTGTAGGCAGAGCAAAAAATTTTAAAATACATGGATGAAAAAATGGAGACAATAGTTGGCTTGGAAAATACTATAATGAAATTGAAAACAAAGAATAAAAAATATAATGAAGAAAAATCTAATATGGCAAAACAATATCAAACATTGAAACAGCAATACTTACAAATGGTAATTTAGACCTTAAGATATTTGTATTAGTATGAATCTGTATTTTTTTAATTTTAGTCAAAAGCTGCTGAAAAATCTAGTGATACAAATGAGTCTCAACTGCTTACAAAGTTAACAGGTTAATATAATACAATATATTTATATACAATTTTTGAATTTTATTTGAATTATTATTTTTTGTACAGATAAAGATTCACAGATTGCCAAACTCCAAGAATATGTACAAAAATTAGAACATGAATTCAAGTAATAAAAACATTTACCAAAGAAATTTTGATTTATTTTTGTCCTAATAATATTTACTTTAATTTTATAGGGATAATGAAAATAAAGTTAATGAACTACAGACTACAATTGATAATTTAAAAACAGCGAATGTAAAACCATCAACTAAAAGTATAGGGGTCTTAACAACTTTAAACAATGTCCAATTAGTAAGTTAATGTTGTGAACCAATGTCAACTTGTATTAATGAAATATTTTTTATTTGTATGTTTACAATAGCCTTTAAAAGTCATTGATGTATTAGAAGACAAAGAAAATATGGTAAGAAAATTAATAATTATATTAGTCATATAAGATGCATATTTTTTATTTTATTTGTCTAGCATGCAAAATCAGATCATAGACCTCAAAGAAAATGTAGAAACAAGACGCCACTGTCAACAATTAGGTAAACTTATTTAATATTATAATTATTTATTGTTCATTATATCTATTTTTGATTTATGACCTGTTTTTAAAGAGTAAAATCGTTTGGCCCGCACAAATTATATATTTATTTATTCAATATTAATATTTGATCTACCAAAATTGGTAAATAAATACATCTGCTCTACAAAATTTATGGCTTACATACAATTACCTAAATTTAACAAAAAAATTGAAATAACATAATTTATCATAGTTAAAATTATTTAACAAGTTTCCCCATATTAATAACTAATTTAATTTATAATTCATAAATTAAAACTTGCCTATTGCTTTGTTGTAAAGAAAAGATACTTTTAAGTGTTTTTTGTTGTAATTGTTATATATTCATATATATTTTAGATAACTTTAAGTCACTACATAAAGGGTGATACTTCTATCATTGAACATACATTTTTTTTAAATTAAACAATACTTTATTTGGAATATTTTATTTAAATTTCTTGCTTCGGGAGTAACCGAATTGGTTCCCTTGAAACTAAAATATAAAATAAGCTTTTTAATAGTTAAACAATTTTTATAAATCTAATAAACTAATAATTTCTAATTATTAAATTTAATTTCATGTAATACTAGTAACTTATATTTATTAATTAATTTTTTCGAGATTTTCTATAGTTTTAATTCTTAAGTATAAAAACCTCTTTTTGTTATAATTCAAAAGATTTTACTACATTTCTAAGTATAAATATTATCTACACTTATATTAAATTCTATTCATAATGTTAATTTATAAAAATAAAATTAATTTTTTGTTTGTTTCAGGAAAACAAAAAATTTGAAAATAGGTAATTATTAATAATGAAAAATATGTGATAAACCATTATTTGTTCATAAATACAGGAAACATTAATTAATTTATTATCATACATATAATAATACCAATTTAATGTATTTAAGAATACACTACTACTATATTTTATGTCTGCATGTATTTTTTCCATTCTTCAAATGTACTTTACATGTGTAACATTAGAGAATTGACCTTTCATTGAAATCAAATTTAAAAACCTAATCTATGTTTATACATAAGTATTCATGACAAAATACCAAATTTTAAGTATATATAAATGTATAATACACAATATAAACATGCTTAAAAATTAAAAAATCATAAAAAAAAAAAAAAAATTAACAAAACTATTAATGTCATAATTTATTGTTTGATTTCATTATAAGAAAATAATAGATCAATCCAATCTTACTTTAAAACCAACAATGTAAAATATATTTTATTGAATGGGCATGGCAAAATGTAGACAGGTAACTAAGATTAAATACAAACATGCATTTCAGTAATTTTATTAAAATCAAATTATCTATAAAAAAAAAAAAATGTTTCCTGTTTTTATATATTTTTACCTATATAACATTGTTGTGTTTGCATTTTTTCTATTTTTAAAACTTATTAACTTTTTATATTTTAAATTCTGAAGAAACTCCTGATAGTTGTGACAAGAAATTGGATGAAGCTATAGCTAACATACCAATTAGTACACGCAAACGCAAGTTGTTTGACAATAAACCTCCATTACTTGACAATAGTAATATGCCGTCTGTAAGATCTAGATATTTTGTTTAATATTATGAATGTTTGAATAATTTATTTTTTTTTTATCACAGGATAATTCCATGAATTCAGTGCTTTCTCCTGCACGGGCACTACTTCAAGTCTCAAAATTACGTGCTAAATAATAATATTTTTGTCTCTGATTTATAAATGTATATAATTTCAACGATTTTGTAATTATTTTTAATAGTTTAATAAAAGAATTTTTTGTTTATTTTTGAAATTATTTAAATCATAACTATACAAATAATAAAAATGGTTTTTTTTTTTTGACATTTTTAATCAACATTAATTTTAACTAATTATGTTCTGTATTTATAATCAAAATATGCAAATATTTTTTACTTGCATATTAATATAAGTGTATATAACTTATTCATTTTTGTAACAAATATTCTTTTTATTTTTCATTGTAGTCAAAATATTAAATTGAATATATTTAATTGTATTTATACACTATGCTTATTGTTTTTATAATGCATTCTTAAGAATTCATTATTTTTCAAAAAATAATACTTTGATGAAGTATCAAATGGTAATATTTTTAATTATTTTACTATTCAAGGTTATTAATCAATGTATTGACTTAATTTTCATTGAAATTTGATCATAACAAATTATTATATATATAAAATAGAAAATCAGATTAATATGGATAAAAATTACTGAAATTCATTAAATGTAAGGTTAATAAGATCAAAAACTTTTAAAAACAAGATATTGTAATGTATAGATTTAAATCAATTAATTTTGTATAGTATAAAAAAAGTAAAAAGCAACAGCTCAATATTAGGCTTTGTAAAAATTGATCTTTTTTAAAAACTGTTCTGTGTGTTTTAAATTCAATTAGAATAGTATATGATTATACAATTAATTTGTCATTAACAATAAATTAATTGTAAAAAAAAATTTTGACAAAGGTAGTTATTAATACAAAATATAACTAAAACAAGTCAATAAATATTATAATCTTATAGTACAAATTAAACTTATTTTGAAACCTAGGGTCAAATACAGATTTAATTGACTTTTTACTGTTTAAAATTCAGAATCAGTATTAATTATTGATAAATAGTCAATAATCTGATCATTATTCATCAATGTAAATAATTCAATAAATATTTATCAGTGGCCACCAATAATAGTTGTCTTCATAATACGTTTATGATTATATAGGACTAATGCACTAGCAAAATAAAATGTAGTCAATTTTAAAATAGCTAATGAAAATTAGTTTACATAAAATATAATTAAATTCATATAAGTTTGACAAATTTTACAATTTACTTATTTACTATGACTGGTTGGTTTTCTTTAGTTTTTCCAACAACGACATTGTAGAAGTTTTCATCGCTGGTGGTGTAGCAAAGGGTTTTTGCTTTATACATTGTTGAAATTTAAATAAATTTCCAAAAGGTACATGTTGAATAATTGGAAATTTTCCAAGCACCTGAAAAGTAAAGAATAAGTACAAAGATAAAAAATTAAATGATAAAAATGTGTATAGTTCAATTACCTCTTTTTTGTACATTTTAATTAAACCTTCATTAATTTTATTCCAACTTTGAACACCGCTTATATTCCAAAGCTGATTAGAATGCTCATGAAATAATCCTTTTTTTACTTGCATTATAAAGTCAATACACCCAAGGAACATATACTTTGATTTGAACTGTTGTACACATTTTTCGTCAACAAACAAATTTGGATTTAAATCTGGGTTTTCTAGAAATAATATTCAATTTGGTTTTTAAAATCCTAAATAGCATTAAAATAATATAGTATTACCAATTAATTGTGCGCTACCCCAAATAAAAGGTACAAACTGGTAATCATCTAAACTCCAAGCACCATGGCTTCCAGCTGGTTCCATTTGATACCTAAGTTGGCATCTACGAACTATTTCTAAATATCTAAAAATAGTATAAACAAATCTCGATTACTTAACACTGTTAACATATTTAAATATAATTAATTATTAACCTTGAAAATAGCACATTGACAGTAGCTTTACTGTCACTTTGTTTCAATATGTCTACTTTATATAAACCACACAAGAACATACAAAATGACATTTCGTGTCCAGTGCCATAATCGATACGAGTTGGATTACCAAAGCTATCAACAATATAAGTGGTAAGTTCAATAACGTCTTGTTGGTCAACTGATGACAATTCTTTAGACAATACTTCGGGCAATCTCTAAAAATAAATTTTAAAATTAATACTTGCCATTAAATACAATTCTCAAATCAATTATTATCTAACCGTTTTTAACAAATTGTAAAATGTAGAAAACGCTTTATTTCCAAACCTACAGCTTTCTTTCAATGGTTCTACTTCTGTAATCCAATCATCAATTGTATTTAATACATTTAATAACTGGGAAATTGCATTAGACAGCGTCAAAGTTTTGTTCAATGGTATGGCATACACAGATTTGTTCATGGCTACTATAAATCCAATATAATCCTAAAAACGACAATTCACGTGTTATTATTATAATTGCATATCTCTTATTAAAATTAGTTTATGAATAACTAATAAGTAAATAATAAACATTATGCTTAGTTTTATAAACTGAACTTAAAATATCAATATATCCAACATTGAGAAGATGCATAGTAGAACTTACAAGATTAGTAATTTATATAAGCCAATAATTGTTACTTTGAAATAATGCAGCAAAATAATGAGGTAAAAAAATATTTATAGAAATATATCATTTGTAAATTATTAATTTCTTATAGAAAGTGGAAGTAATCGATGCAAACTAAAACCATATATATATATATATATATATATGATTTCATATTTATTATAATCTATGTATTAAAATTTATTTGAGTATATAAAAATAATTGTTTATTTTCAAGTCCGCATATAAAATACATATTTTTTTGTAATTTTTTCCAATTTGTTTTTAAAAAAATAATATACCTATTACCTACTTAATGAAAATTATGCTACAATATCACAAATTCTGTTTAAGTACATGGCACAATACAATTTATAAATTATTTTTTTTCGAGAACCAAGGAAAAATAAACTCCACACTCTCAATGTATGAAAATGTATCTATCATTGTTGATACTTGATAGACGCTGTAAACGATCATAGAAAATGAATTTCAATATCATACATGCAGACAAACACCCAAAATTGTTGAAGATTTGCATTAAGGTTAATATAGACTAGTAAATTTGTAACACGGATCTTAAACTTACATTGTATGCTTCAGATAATTCCCACGCATCCATATCGCTTTCGTTTTTCACTCGTGTCTTGAACTCCATATTGTCGTCCTTAAATTTGAGGATTGTTGAAGTAACGTCGCTCATGTATTTGAATGCAACGGCCGTATACAATTTTCGTTTAAACAATCTACGTTAGATTAACCTAACGATTCAAAACGTATTACCTAATGTCCACCGCAAAATATATAAATTCAAACTATCCAAGAACGAAATCAACGCGTATCGTCATACCACTCATAACTTATAAATTATGTTACTAAATACTATGATTATGAACTCTATAATGGTAGGTATATTTTTTAGCGATAAATATAATAAATAATTACTTTTTTACAACTCATATAAATACATATTTAATTGGATAACTATTGTTTGGACACTTTGTAATTTTTAGTGGTTTTGATGTCAGATACTCAATTTAAAATAATATAATTTATTAATCCTTAACTGATAAGAAATAAATGCATAGTACATACTTGATAGTGCACTGCTGCATGCAGATGCAGCCGCAATCTGACATTCTGATTATACATTATACTGCCGTCTGCCCGTCTACCACAGATCTTATGGCAATATGGGCCATGACAAATGTTGTTATACCTACTGTTATAGCCGTTATAGGCATTATGTCCAAGGCAAGGGCATTGGAGTGTAATGAGCCATGAACATGAGCGTATACTCAACTATATTTATAAAAACAAAATGTAAATACGTGAAAAAAAATATTAATTTTATAAGTTTACGATAGTGATTGGTGGGCAATGTATATGTTATTTATTTTTTTATTGTATTTTTTATTTTTAAATTCTGCTGTTACTTACTCGTAATTAATCACACCGCCGCCTAAAAAATGGTTTAGTAATAAAAAACTATATACTAATACATAATATTTATTTATATCATATATGTTTCCTGTAGATAAAAATAGATTTTTATCATACGCATATTATAAATTATTCTTGTTTTTTTTTTGTTTTTTTTGTTATTATTATTAACGTTAGGGCGCACTATAATAAAATATACTATATAGTGCCTTGACAACGTGTTATTTAAAAACTAAGAAGTAGGGAATTAAAATTTAAAATATAATTTTTCTTAATTTTGCATAATTTTCTAGCACATATAAAACAGGTCAGTATACTTCAGTCTACAATACGTTTTTCTATATTAATAAAATTATAATTCTTTGGGATACAAAATGGTAAAAATATTAGAGGAGAGATCTACCACCCATATAAATAAGCCACATGTAGAGGGATGAAAGTGTAAAAAAAATTGTATGTATCTGAAGTTTTGAATGTCTTATTGATTAATAATTACTTATGACATAATTAATTAAGCCAAATGTGTATTTATTAATACCATTGAATATAAATTATTAAAATTTATAATCAATGTTAATACTAAAAAATAGAATATCTTTTAACACGCTAAAATATTTTACATGAAGAAAACCTACTACTTCGCAATTTAAACACTAAATATTGTGATGTGTCTACATGCAAAGTGCAATTTGTATCTAGACCTTTCTATATAGTTCCTGAATATGCCGTGAAGTTCGATCATTAGATAAATTTTTCCCTCACAGGTCTAGTCAGTAGTCACTATTAACCCATACATTAATTAAACTTCTTGTAAAGAATACACTTACTCTGTTTATAAATTATACTCTTATAGATTGTATAAATAATAATGAAAAAATAAAATAAAAACACGTCTGCATACGTATATAATGAATAATTAATAATATAGTATAATAATTTTTTATTGATTTATAGGTCCATACTCAGTGGTTAATTCTTTCATGACCAATAGTTATTGTGTTATTCAGCATTCCCCACTCGTTGAAAATAATATTATAATATATCTACGCTGTTTGTTTACACGTCGACCCGTTGACGTCATCACTTATCGGGAATATAAATTTCAATTTTTTCCTTACTGATGTTGTAAGTACAATGATTGAGATTAATTATTATTATTATTTCGAGTTCCGACGACTTTCACGTTCGCCGCTCACTACGATTAGTACGATTGTCACCCATGGTGCCTGGCCCGTTGGGTTTGGGCGCCTGCGGTTCTTCAATTCCTGGTAATGCACTAGTGCGGTCTTAACTCTGGTTGACGACTGATTGTATACAGGTTACGGACATAGGCGAGAAAGGATTGCGACAGACCGCAGGATCGACACATTTGTAATTCATTCTTTATTATTGTTGTTTTATTATTATTATTATTATTAATATTATTATCATCATCATCATCTTTTATTACCGTTTTTATCATTGGCCGTTGTTGATTATTTGCTTGTTTCGTAGCTTATCGTGCGTCGCGTACTTGCGTCTCGTCCACGACGGGTACCTAAACGGCTAAACGAATCGTTTAACGTGTTGTACAATGCACAGTAAAAGTCGTACCCTGAATGGACTGTAATCAGTGTAATCTCGTATAGTCACTGTAAATTTTAATCAATCCCTCCCACGTCGTAGGTTTAACGTCCCGTTTCATTTGCCTGGTGTGGCCCTGTCGTCGCAAACTGTTTTTGAACTCTCTTCAGTCGCAATTGAATTTCTATATAGATATCCGTGTCATAAAAAAGTGAATAAAAAAAAAGATTCATACGATTTCTTAGCGGCTGTTCGTACTCTGTACCTGTGTTGTCCGTATATGTGTATATCGCATTTGTCAGTCTCCTCGAACTAAACCAAGGTGTGTCAACAGATTCCATTAGCTTCACAATAACACGTACACTATGTATTGGACCGTTCACATGTATGGTGGCCCTCGACGGGTCAACCACGCAGCCGTCGCAATTGGCACAAGCATTTTCACTTTTGGTGGTTACTGCAGCGGCGTAGACTACAAAAGTTTTAAACCAATCGACATACACGTATTAGACACCGGTAAAATATTTTACATGTCTAGTCTAGTGTTTCTGTAACCCAGATTATATCCAATGTATTTAATATTTCGCTTGTTTTTGTAATTTCAGAGAAGTTGAAATGGTGGAAACTGGAGCTAAATGATGATCAAGACTACAAATGTGTTCCATTTCAGAGGTATGGCCACACAGCCGTTGCTCTTGGATCTAATATTTACCTGTGGGGTGGACGTAATGACAATGAAGTTTGCAACACTTTGTACTGTTTCAATACAAGTAATTTGTTTGTTTTAAATCTTTATAAAAGGAATAAATATTGGTTGACCAAATATTATAGCTATATAAGTAGGTACCTACCTAAATAAAGTTATATTTATATTTTTCTTTATTACTGAAAACATTTTAAAAGAATATCATACTCACATGTGTCATTTCCTTATTTTATTATGCATAGCAAATACCAGAATGTATATTCAGCTATTCCAATTTAATGTTATTAACTTAAAAATTAGAATAAATAGACTTATTGCTAAACTTAAAGTAAGATTATTATCTGAGTATTTTCATTGGTTTTTATGATGTTTTAGTTTTAATCAAGTATATTAAATATTAATACTAATTATGTTCATAACACACAAACTTAATATGTTGTCCATTTGAAAGGCAGATAATATTTGCAGGTGTGACATCCTCTTAAGACCTATGATTTTATGCACCTATCAAATAAATAATAGTTTCTATCATTTTTTAGAAGCAATATATCTATATCAAAATTAAATCAGAAAGGTCAATTTAAAGGTGCTATATTAATTAAAAATGCTAAACAACTTTTACTATGCATTCATCTTGAAATTGTAATTTTAGTACTTAGCATAATGTATTGTTATTAAAATTATTTATTCACTACTAAAATCATTAAATAAATATGCATAGATTAATAATTTAACTGATGTACAAGTCAAGACTTTAAAAATACATTAAGACTAATAGCTGCCCATAGTTTATTATTAGATAATAAATTAGTCAGTAGAACTAAAATCCAATTTAATTTTCATATTATTAATAATTGTTTCCATGAACAAACCGGTTTAAACCTTGAAAATTAATATTAAACATTTTATTTTTGAGCAGAATTTTAATATCTTTCATATTTACATTTATCTTTTATAAAAAATAGTTTTAATTCTTTATTAAATTGTTATATTTTTATACCAGATTCTTGCTCAAGGCTGTTGACCAAAAAAAATATTCTCTGGGATAAAATTTATAAATAAGTGTTTATAATAATCTAATTAAGTTTAATATTAATTATTGAAATATTATTCAATGAAAAATCAAAAAATAAAATTGATAATTATTTGTTTAAAAGAGTAAATAAAAAGTCTATAAAATAGATAGTAAATTATCAAAAAATAAATAATTGTATATTTACTAAATATAAACAATTATATAATAATATGCAGTTAATTTTTCAATATAAAAATGTAATTCAAGCTTAAAGAAATTTAAGTCTGTGGTTTTAAAAAAATGATTGTATTCTAATTTTGAATATTCTAATATTTTCATGATCTAAATATTATAAAAATGAACAAAAAATGTTCTTTTAAACTGGTTTTAAAATTGACTACAAACAAGCAAAATATCTTGTGTATGCTAATAAATTAATCCTTCAAATTATAAAAACATGCTTAAAAACTAAATATTTAAATAAAAAATAAAAAATGTTTAATTAAATTAATTTTTTATTATTAATGATTTCTTTATATTATTCAGTGCTTTGATTTTTTTATAGATCCAAATTAAAATTTTAGTTATACCAAACATAATAATAGTTTATTTTAAAATTCTGTATATTAACTAGATAATAACTTATAATGTATCTATTTGAAAATTGATGTATGCAGTTTTTATTCACATATTTGTGTAATTTATTGGATTTATTTAAAAATATGCCTATAAATAGCACTTAAAACTCTAAATTAGCAAAATAGTTCTAGAAATTGTAAATATGCATAAATTATCAAAATTATTTATCTTATACGTATTCAGGCAAGTGTAATACAAATTTTTATATTACTTTTAATAATCTATGACCTACCAAAAAAAAAAAAATAGTCATTTGGTAGAACTTTCAAGCCCTGGTCATCATAGATACTAATCTATTTTACCAAGACATTTGGACAATCTTTCTCATCACTTTTAATATTTATTTTATTTTTACTCACTTAAAAAAAATTCACTACATTCAATAACAAATAATTATTTGATATTTTAATTTATGCAAACATTTTGAATAAAAAACTAAATATTTAAAGTTTTTCCAGTGTAAAACTTTCAAAAAATTAAATTCACTTGCAAATAAAAGTGTAACAGATACATGTCATAATATATTTGTAGAATATCTGTAATTTTTAATGCTATCTAAATGAAACTTTGTGTACAAATAAATTAAAATGTGTATAATGTATCTAAAATTTCAAAAATTTAAGAATATTAAAAGCATATTTCACAAAAATTCTTTATTAGTGATAACATAATGTTTTTGACTTTAAATTATCTATCAATGTTTAAATTGTATTATTTGTATTCCCTTATGGATATTTGTTTTGGAATAATGATATCAAAAATTAAATCAGAGCTGTATAAATAATCAACATTAGACCTGATTCTTGGTTTTCAATTATCTTTTTCCCTCTAAACTGGTTTGAAATAATTTTTTTATAATATATTTTTAAATTTAGAAACTCTAAAATGGACAAAACCAACTGTTTATGGAAATATACCAGTGCCGAGAGATGGTCATTCTGCATGTATCATTCAAAACTGCATGTATATATTTGGTGGATTTCAAGAACATCCAAGTCTGTTTGCTTCAGATTTATATATGTTAAACTTTAACTCCATGGTATGGAGCATAGTCAAAACAACGGTATTATTTGATTGCAAATGTTATCTTGTTCTTAGGCAAGCCAATAATTAATTTTATATGTTTATTTTACATAGGGACATCCTCCATCATATAGAGATTTTCATACTGCAACTGCTATTGATAATAAAATGTATATATTTGGTGGCCGTGGTGATTGGCACGCACCAAGACAAACTGAAAAAGATAAATATTGTTCCAATATTTATTACTTAGATACCTCTACAAAAAAGTGGATACGTCCAAAAATTCATGGCATCAAACCTATAGCACGACGCAGCCATTCTGCATGTATGCCAAAATAATTTATTAAAATTATGAGTATATTACTAATGCATGTATTGGTTTGATTACAGTTGTATATAATGGTTTTTTATACATCTTTGGTGGCTTTAACAAAAATAAGGATTTACATTTTCATGACATAAATCGTTATGATCCAGTTACTTCTACATGGATGAAAATATTACCAAAGGGTACACCTCCATGCGCTAGAAGAAGACAGATTTGTCAAGTAGTCAATGATAGGGTATTTATATCTGGTGGTACTAGTCCGCTTTTTCCCAGACCAACAATACCTCCGAGACTAAGAGAATACGATATGGGTGATATAATGTATAACGTGGATCTCAAGGATCATGATGACCTTCATGTTTTAGATCTGAGTAAAATATTTAATTTTTTTTGTAACTACATATTTGACCTTCAAAAATAATACATTGTATTTCTTTAATTTTTCATAGAGCCTAGTCTAAAAAATATATGTATGGTGAATGTTTGGGAGAATATGGAAGAAATGAAAATTGATAATATAGATGACTTACGCATTCCGTTGTCATTAAAGTAAATGCATTTATCACTAATGTTTGCTATTAATTTTTAATTAAATTGTTAAAGTTAAGTAACATTTCCATGTATAATTGTATTCAAAATCTGAAAAATTTTCAGACGTGATCTGACTGCATTTGATCCTTTTGAAATAATGGATACAGAGAGCAACATGATGCAGTCATATGAAGAAAATTTTCCTGTTCTTTCGTAGTAACTGTTCAATAAACAACTAAAATAGAGACAGAAAATGCACTACACACAGTATTTTTTAAACATTGTTATTTTAATTTAAATACCAACCTTTAAGGATAATAAATTATTGTTAAAACGAATAACAAGCGAAGTATTTAGTTAGTCATCTAACGAATGCATATTTATTTTGACCATGTCATGTTTTAATTTATGTATATTTTATATTGTTATTTGTTATAGATATGTTATTTAAGGTTTAGACATTATTATACTAATATAATATAATTATTTATTACATTTTTTTTTACTTTTGAATATAAATCAATTAGACAATTATTGTTCTTTTCCAAAAACATTTAGACATTGTTGGTTCAAAAATTAACTCTTTAATAAGTACATTATTTTTTCAAATAGTGAGTTCAGATAGTTCAGAATTTTATTTGACAAAATAATCAACATTTTATCCAAAGTAATTTCAGAAATATCTGCCCTAGTTTTATTATTTTATTTTTGAAAAATAACCAACAGATGGAAGCTCATATTTGGTTATGATGTTTAATCAAATTATTGACAAAATGACTATGAACATACTGTTCATACAACACCATCAAAATAGATCTAAGACCCTGGTATACATTAAAATTTGAATAAAAATGTGTTTTATTATTAAATACTATATAGTAGACATTTCCTTCATTATTATTCACTATTTAGTAAATAGTATTTACAACCTGGAAAATGTATTACATTTTGTTTTACCTGTAGAAAACTAAAATCAAAATTAATAAATAATAAGACGTAATCAAAAATAAATTTAATATAGCATAACAAATAATAGTTGTACATTAATTCTAAGGATTGGCAGTAATTTTGCACAATATGAAATTTATAAATGTGACCTTAATATACACATTATTAAAATTAAAAATATTACTTTTTTATACTTCTTACCATTTAATGGTTTAAACTTGAATTTTTTTGTCAAGACCTTAATTGTGTAACTTAGTTATTTTCTCTTATTATTATTAATCATAATTTTCAGTCTAATATAAATTTTACATATTTTACACATTTCTCATTAAGCAAAAACTTCAAAAGATGTTAACAATAGTTCAGTAAAATAAAATAATATTTAAATTAACAATAATATACTTTTCTTAAAAATAATTCATAAGATAATAGCCAAATTATGTAATTTAAAAATGTGACTAAGTAAATAGTAAAAAATAATCTATAGTCATTAGATTATGTCATAATTTATCAATAATTAATGATAAAATAAAATATAAAATTATTTAATATGGCTATGTTAAAAAATGGTAATATCTCTGCAAGTGATGTTTTTACTTAAATATATTTCTTTTAAGAATTTGAGATCATCACAAGACAAAATGCTCATGTCCTTATTACAAAGGATCCAAGATGGTGAAGGATTCATTTTTTCTGCTCACCCATAAGTAAGTGCTATAAATTAGCATTACACATCCAGTTAATGCCAATATAAGCCATACATAAGGGATAAAAATTGGTAATACATTTGTAACAATCAACAATTGATCCGACATGTTGCGGGGAATTTCAAAACTTTCAGAAAACCAAAACACAGGTAAATAGATTTCTGGCATATTTTTCAAAATTCTAAACAATTTAAACTGGAATAAATATATTGTATAAGAAATTAAAAATTTAAATGTAGTTACTTTAACTCCTTGATTGGTTTCACTTTGACATTAAATTGAATTCTAGCATCTACTTTGAGAGGTATCGAATAATCCTATAACAAATATAAATTTCTTTTTAAACTTATACTTAAAAATAATATCTAATTGTAAAAATAAAATATTTACTTACGTTTTCCAAAATCATTTTGAATTCGTGCAAAGTCCGATTGGGATTCATACCAACTACTGATTTTCTGTATGATTTATCAGCTAAATAAAAATGTGGGAATGATATATAAATAGGAAGTGCATTGTCTCCACATAAACTTAACGACCGTACACCAGGCAATGGACATCCTGATGATGGACAATAACAAGTGTTGTTAAAAACATCAGATCCCGCAACAAATTCGACTCCTTTCATATCATTAATATATGTATAGTTGTTGTTTAGCATAGTAATTGCACTAGAAATATAATGTAGTAAATACATTTTTATACTATTTAAATTAATTAACATTATTTTAAAATGATAATTATTTCATATTAAAAATTTATTTTTTATATATGTATGAATAATAAATTTAAACTACACATAAAATAAAAATTTTAATCTAAAAGACTACAAGATCCTTTAAACAATAATTTGGTTAACATATTTTTTTTTTTTTTTATTACAAGTATTATTTATTAAACTAATGATAAAAATGATAAAAGATAAGAATTTTTAATATACTTACAAAAATGATTCAGCTGATAAATTATGATTGTAATATTTTAAATTTTAAATTTTAAATTGGAATAAATAATTGGTTTAGAATTTATAGTTTATACATTAATTTACCTGCAAATACCAGGGATATAAATCGACATATTAGGTTGCATAGCAGTGTGTTCAGGCCATAGATCGCCTGCAGAAGCATTCGAATAACTACAATCTTTCTTGAACACATTCAACTTGGTGTTATAATTGACTGAATGAACTAGTCCCACATTTTCAATGTTATTTTCTCCAGTAAACATATTGATTAAGCCATCTGAAGAAGTAGACATATTCATCTGTAAAGTTGTTTAGTTATTAATTAAAAAATACATACAATTAATCAATAATACATATTATTAAAACAAATATATATATTACTCCATACAACCATCCCACTTTTTTGAAAGGTAAGTCAATGGGAAAAAAAGATTTGAGTTTGATTGCAATGTCCAAAAGAGGATCGTCATAACCATCAAAAATTAATTCACCAGCTGTCTTTGTTACATATGGCTTGTTAATGTTTGATATTTTTAAATAGTAGTTGGTAAGAACAAATATCCAGTGTTTATTAATGGCTTGTAATTTTTCACCCAAAATCTACAAAGATTTTAACTGATAATATTAAAATATTCAACATTTTTGTTATATGACTTACATTAACTACAATATTAATTGTGGTAACGTTATCGGACAATGAACCATTTGAAAGAGATTGATCAAACTCCCAACTTTTCAACTGCATGTATGTTATTGTTTCATTATTGTTGAATGTAATGTTGACTTTAGTGCGGTTTTCTCTGAAATTAAACAAACTCTAATTACATCATTTGTGTAAATAAAGTTTTCAAATTAATTTTTATATATTATTCAAAAATTAATTAAATGTAATAAAATATTTATACTTCATACCTGAAAACATATGGTCCTAACTGTTGCAATATTGGTAAATCTCCTGTCTGTAATGTAGCTTCTGGATTTGTCCAGTTGAATAAATATATACTCATATACAACGGTGCTGGAATTTGTTTCCAATACTGATAAGTTTGAGTATTGTTTTCTAATTCAAGTTTCTGAAAAACAAAATATCAGTCAACTATTATTGTATAATATTTTAAATTTTTTTAATATTGTTTGTAATAAGACACTTGTTATAAAAAAGTTAAATTTCAATCTACAAAATAAAGGTAGTAAATACCTCATAACAGTCATAACATATTATACTATTAAATTATAATCAAGCATTACGTTTTTCATTATGTTGTTAAATATCTGTGGCCACAAATCAGCCATGATAATTCCTGTGAATAGAAACAGAATGCCAAACAATGATAGTAAAAGTTGACACCAGAAGCCACAACATTTTGAATCTTTGTGCTCATCTTTAGCTGTAATAAGCCTTCTGAAAACAAAATATGAAATGATAATCAGTAATAATTCTGATTATTTATTACAATATTATAATTTATAATACTTATGATAAATTTTTGTGACAAAAAAAAAGATATTATAAGATATTTGAGTTGAAATATTGCTCAATCGTAAACTTCTAGATGGGCGTTGTAAAGAGAATTAGGTGGATCGTAGATGTTTAAAATTTTATCAATAAGCTCAAAATTAATCCCGACAATAATTGTTATGGTGTGATATTATTTTCTTACTCTGTTTCTTCTATGTCGTGACTCATTGTCAAGTGATAGAGTTTCACCATTAGCTGTTGAATGGTAATTGTCAATAATTGCAATCTATGTATAATTTATATTTGTGTATCTTCTCTAAATCACATCGCAAAGAAAAATCTTTTAAAACTTGGAAAAGAGAAGAACGACGACAATGACGAACTCGTATTACTACACTGACAACTATTATTGCACTTTCGGTTTAAAGTCTAATCAAACAATTGAGTAATAACACTAATAACAATAAAAAAAAAAAAAAACGTAAACGTTATCGTCTCACATGGTCAATATCGGTGTTTTTAAGTATTGGTATTATTATTACAGGTACTTATAAAAAATGTATCAAAGTCTTGACGAGTGACGAATGGGTTATGACTAAAATGTATTCCCATCGAACACTGTCACAATAAAAACACAAACGGTCCAAATAATACATTTGTTATCTTGTACATAGTTAAAAAATTATATAATGTATAACCACGAACATAATATAATAGCATTGATTCTATAATCAATGGTAAATACTAAATAATCATAACGCTGTTATCTATATTATACGGAATGATATAAGTATTCATGTCATTTATAAATGGGCATTTTTTAGTTCAAGGTTTATAACTCGGACTATTTTTTTTTGATATATATATATATAAGATAATAATATCTGCAAGCCTTGATAATAATTATCATAACCGAATAAAGATAATAAATGAAAACATTGAAAATGTCGGATGGTTTTTACTGGAACTAGGAAGTTATGATATTGACTATTTAGTATTTGTCTGTACAGATTGCATAATCCTGCCGTGACGAGCAAGTCCTCCAACTGAGTAGTAACCCAATCATCAGCGCTTTACGGACACAATAGTGATTAGCTACTGGTTACTGGTTAGTCATTAATGAATAATGGCTAAGATTAGGTATCTTAGTTTGAGACAGCAACGTACGATGTAATAATTATAAATGTGTGTCGTGAAATATAGTGATGAATATTTTATTATTTTTAGCGTATTATCAACAATTATTACGTATATAAGTTATAAACTCATGTGCTGTTATACGTCTCGATTATTTATGTATTTTGAAGTTAATTGTTTTTCTTTTTTTTAATAAGATGTTGCCGATCAGAGGGACTTTTTTCAAAATAAAAGGTCCTATTACTTTTATCCAAGAAATGGTACCGCGAAAATATAACCTCAGAAACTTAGACCCCCGAATAAACAACCCTACCTATGTAAAGTTTTTCACATTATTTTATTATTGGAAGAAAATTAATATTTTCTGTGCTCATATTTTGCTAGTACTTTTTTTTTTTTTTAATTTACTTCAAAATGTCTTTAATATAAAAAAAAAATACACACACACACTATAGTATACAAGCATACAGCACACAACAGAACATAAAATCTTAAATTTTTATAATATTATGTACATACGCCGTGCCGTGCCTAACATTATTAGTACCCGGTGCCAAAAATTATTTTTAGTGCTCTTATCCCCTCTGGCCCTCTACCATGTATGTAGATAACATAAGAATAGGGGAGAGAAATTCGTTAGATTTACCATTTTTTGCACGTTTCTAACATAATAAATTAGTAATATAATATTTAAACTGTATACGTAGAATAAAAAATATTGATAGATATAGGCACTTATCATACTAAACCGGTATCATTCATTTACGAATCAAATTTGTTCGATTGCATAAAAAATAACTTATCTTCAAATAAATGCTAATAAAAAATAATTTTATACCTATTTCTGCAATGAATGATGTGAACATTATCATAGATGGGTTCAAAATAGAATCGTACAACTTGTTCTAGTCGAAATTCTGTTATTAAATTATTAATTATATAAAATAACAATAATAATGCAGAATACATAAATTTATAGTATATTATTGTTATTGACTATCAACGACGTCGTTATTTCGGAATAAAAATAAAAACCAATTATATCCATACATGAATAGGTATTTTTACATAATTGCTAACTAAACATTTCAAAACGTTATCTCATAGCCAATCAAAATAATGAACCGAGACCGGTCCGCCGATCAGGATGAAATTGAAAGCCAACTGATAGGTATTGACTATTGACTATTGAGTTTTAAATTATCGTAAGAATTAAAAATGTATCAAATAAATAAATGAAAATGGCTAAACAAAATGCAATTATTAATCAATTTCAATTTATTTTTTCAAGCCCTAAACCTGGAGTCTTCAAGACCATTAAATCCGTTATTTATAATTTTCAAGAAATATTGCAAGACAAAAATATTCAATACTCATTAATTCTATACCCCCGAATCATGGCTATCATGATTTTTCTTAATTACTTATAAAATATTAATATACTTTGAATTTTGAAACGGTTTTTTTAAAATTAATTTGGTATTAATAACTTTTATTTATACAAGTAGGTTACTCTATACGACTATACCTATTGGATATCAGCTATTATTACCTAAGTATACAGGTATACTGAAGACTGAAGACACGTATTGACATTATATCTCAATAGATATTTGATCACTGTATAGTAGTTTTTTAAAGACAAGTTAGATAAATAAGAATACATAAAAATACACCGATAATTTTTAGTATGTATATGTTACACTAGGCAATGATTAACTAGTTAAAAATGTTTAAGTTACTTGTTTTGATAATTTAGTTATTTCTTTTTATAAATAATTATTAAATCTATCTTTAATCAAATTTGTGTAAGCCAATAACGTAATAAGAGGAAACATTTTGGATCATTTGTTTAAGTTATTTTTAGCAATGTTAAAACTTAAAACAAACATTTGATATAGGTACATGATGCATGGTATATTTTTATTATACAATTTAACGTGAGTTAATCTTTCCAAGGAATTTTGCATTGAATCAACTACATTACATTTCTATTGTAAACATTCTCATCTAAACTAGGAAATTATAAATATTTCTAAAGAAATATCATTTATGAATTTCATAGCTGCAAATAGTGTTTTTGTTTTCGTAAAAGAATGAATTATTTTCCTATTGCGCATACTTAAAATATGAGCTACTTTATTGAGAATCTAAGATTATGACAAACAATTTAATAGTATTTAAATTTTCAATTTATTGTTTTTTTTTAGTGGAACAAACAAAACCAAAAACTAAATAAAATAATGGATTATTGTCGCACCATTGTGAAGTGAGCAACTATACATATATCTAGATATCAAGTTTATTGAATACTTATCATATTATATTCTTTGATTTTATTGAATTTAGATCTGAAATGGTTATAGTCTATAGGAAAAATAAAGCCTAGAGTAAAAGTTATTATGATTGTTTTGTTTTGTTTTATTTTGACTCTTTAAGTTGTCAAACTATAATTAATTAATTTTCCTATTGACGGTAAAAATTTGATATAACATACAGGTTACCACCGATAACTGACTAGGTAGGTACTAGCCACTAGGTATCTAAAAAAAAGTGTAACCAGTAGCGTAGCCAGGATTTTTTTCGGGAAAGGGGGGAAGCTGATCAATTTTTACACATCGGTGGTTTAACTAAAAAAAAAAAGGTTATTAATTAATAAAAGCTTAGCCTAATAATATATTTTTATTTCAGAGGGGGGAGGGCTGCAGCCCCCTGGCTACGCCACTGAGTGTAACAGAATATTGTTGAATGAGTACGGGTTATTCAGGCTATCTTCGCACGCGGGTGACGTTAACTGTTCACTATTTTTTAACGTCCATTATTATTATAATATATTAGTCTGCGATAATAAGAATAAAGTTATAATTTATAAATGTTATAATATTAAAATTTTACTACCAGAATCCATTTTATACGGAGTGGTGTATAGGCAATATAAGTACATTCCTGTGAACAAGTATTGTTTGTGTGTTTACGACAACCATGATGCAATGAGGATACCAAGGCTTACAAGATCCTTGAAAGTTTCACCAGTCGTGACGAATGACGTGAAACAATTCATGCGTCGACATTTTAAGCAAATGATACCCAACCTTTATTATTCAATTGGTCATATTAGAAAAATATTGCCCTTGTGCAGGCCACCAATAATATAAATTTAATATTTCATTATTATATTGTACCTGTTTGTCAAATGTCCATAATATTATGATGTATTTTTTACTTAACATTTTAAATGTTTACACTTTACAATGCAATAAATCGTCTTTATTAAAATTCACACATATAATGTAAAGAAAATTCTATATTATATTATAATAAAGATAAGTAAACCTACCGTTCAATTAACCAACATAGATTCTTGTTTAATTTGATAGGAAATTAGGAACTAACAACTTATTATTTAGTATGACTTTGAAATTTATTTATAAATTTAAAAGTATTTTTACATATAAATATGAAAATGAAAATTTTAGAAATAATTGAATTTTTTTTTTTAATACAAAAACAGGTCGTGGGCAACTTCTAAGGTTTTAGCGGTCCATGTGTTGGGTACACTGTTTTAAGCAATCTAAGCGAATTGTAACATATTATAAGATTCTTGGACCAGTCTCATACAAAGCCAACAACCAAAAAACATACAACAGTCGAATGCAATATATTTAAATAACCAACTTAAATCAGTAACAAATTGTAAGCTTTATGTTACATACTAGGTAAATCCGTTGTATAATAATACATTATATAAATTAGATTACGGTAAAAAATAAATAAAATACATCATCACCTCGCAAATTCTGAAGATTGGATGCCAAACATTGAAGTTATATGTAAGCAATTTGACTGTTCAAAATACAAAAAAACATTTTAAAAATTATATTAAAATTAAAAAAGTATCAAAAAATCTTATATAGATGCATAAACAATCATATTAATTACTTTTCTAATAAAATATAAAAATAAAATTGATAATACATAAAAATTAATTTTAAATACATAACTTAAAATTGAACAAATTTTATTAAAAAATAAATGATAAAATAACACTTAATATTATCACTAGTATCACAGAAATGCACTCCAACCTATGTACATTTGACATAAGTTATCGACAG